ATTTTTTTCTGTAATTAAATTTCTTATTGTATTTTAAAGTTTCTACTATAATATTATATAAATAAAAAAAAAAAAAAGATTTGTATTATATAATAGTCTAATATAGTTTGTATTTCCATTTCTAGACTATTTTATTATTCATTTATTTATTTATTTTACATATTATACTTATCTGTTATTTTCTATTAAAGCTATTTATTATTACTATTTGTTGTTTAGTATAATGTAACATGTTGTTTTGTTTGTATTGATAACTGATTATATGTTCTAATTTTATTTTTCCAGGCCTAGCACAGTTTTTCAAAAACTGTAAAATTAACAAAAGTTTTTGTTTAACAAAACTTTACTTATACTGTTGTTAAGATAAAATAGTTGTATTTTATATACTAAGTCTTTTTTCTTAAAGTCTAAAATGAGATTTGTTGAACTGTTTTTGCATTTTCTTTTATGTTTGTTTAGTTTTGTTTAGAAATTAAAGATTAGCAGAGAAAGTTTTTGTTATCTTTATTAAAGTTTATTACAACTAACTAGTTTTTAATAAATTTTATTATAATACCTTTTTTTTTGAACTGGTTTTCAAACTGTTATATATTTTAGAACACAACATTTGCTAATAAGACTCAAAAAACTCTCTTATTAACTACCTATTTATTTTACAAACAATTAATAAAAACTTTTCTTATAAAATTCATTTATACTCTAATATCTTCTTTATAATATATCTCTAATACTTTAATATATTTTAAATTTGTCTTTAGGCTTTTAATTCAAATAATTTAAAAAAATTATAACTTATTTCTAATATATCAAATTTAACCTAATATCTTTTTTCTTTAATTTTAACTAACAACCTAATTAATTTTAAACAATATTAATTTTTGTAATAAAAATTTTAATATAATAAATTAATCAAAATTAAAACTTTAAATTACACAAATCAAACAAATAAATAAAAAATAAATAATAAATAAATAATAAAATAAAAAACTTTTATTATTCTATTTTATATTTGCTAAATAATAATAATAAAATACCAAAAAAATTTGTCATTATTAGTAATATAATAGTAATATATTAGTAAAATAATATAAATGTTTTATTATTTTGTTAATATATTATTACTATTATGTTAAAATATTAACAAACTTTCTGTTATTTTATTATTATTCTACTGTTGTGCTACCATTATTTAATAGATATAATGAAATATTTTTATTTCATTATTTACCCATTATTCACCTATTATTAACCCTTTATTCATTTGTTCAACCTGTGTTAAATATAATATAAAGTCTTTTCTTAAAAATAACCTTATGAAACTATGTAGATTTCATGACTAAAAATTAAAATTTCTAGCCCTACAAAATAAAAAAAAGTTTGTTTGAATTGGATCATTGGATGGCTAAAAATTTTAATTTTTAGTTATAAAATCTACATAATCCCATAGGGCCATTTTCAAGGCAAAGATCCCATATTATCAATGTAACAAAAAAAATCCACAACGTTAACAAAATTTTACCTTGTTCACAACAGAATAAGCAAAACTAAATTCACATCACACGAAATTTGAATTACCTCTTACAACAAATAGACATTGATATGTATATATCCATAATCACAAATTGATTTAAAGTAACAGATGTATAGTACATCATTTTAAAATAATTAAATATCAAAAATGTAAAATTCTAATTTCTATACATTTGCATAAATACAAACACTTTGCGATGAATTTATACAATTAACTAGATGCTTGTAATTGGGGTTCACGTTTCTTTTTTATGAAGGCAGCAGAGCACTTTGCCATAGTTTGACTTGATCGAGAAATACTATCCGTCATATAAAAATCCTGAATTATAGGATTTAATTTAGCATCAGACGAATTTGCCGCTAATTCTGAGAGATACTCAATACCCAATTGTGAGTTACTAGTGTTCTCGATTACACCATAGCGGGTGAGATGTGGTGCGATATCATTCATACGATCGCGGAGAGAAGGAAGATCATCGTAAGGTAAAGTGAATCCAGTAATCTCAGATAAAGCACGAATGATCTAGCAAAAAATCTTTTAGCCACTGACTTTGGACATTAGAAATTAAATTGCAATCTTAATACATACCTTCCAATCTTCACGTGAAGCAGCTGGTGGGGGCACCACAGTTCGAGTAAGCTGTACACGACCTTCAGTGTTTAAATACGTAGCGCTTTTTTCTGTATAGGCCACTCCAGGAAGAATTATATCAGCATAATGGGTTCCTACATCACCATGATGCCCTTGATATACTACAAATGCATCTTTTGGAATATCTTGAGGTCTAATTTCATCAGCACCTAACAGGTAGATGAATTTTGGTGATGTTTGGGATGATGCATGTGAAGGTATAAATCCAATGTCGTAAGCAGCGGGATGACCTACAGCCTAAATAAAACATTGAAATAAATCAAATAAGATCACATCACATGGTCATGAATGCAACAAATCATATATGCGAACCCTTTGAAGTACGTTGTATCCATTCCATCCATCTTGGAAAAATTTCGGTTTGTACTTGTTGACTATTTTAGCTACAGTAGAGAATACATATGCTTCGTCAGGATTGCCTAGGACTCCACTACCAACTATAATCAACGGTCTTTGAGCTTCAGAAATCCTTTTAGCAAACGGATGCACATCCTTCAGTATACTATCGAGTGCCTTACTGTTTGTACCAATATGATCATATTCATAGGTAGTATCTGCAGCATGACCTATAAGCCCAATATCTAGGCCATTATTTAGATAGCTTTTTAGAATTCTGGTATTAAGAATTGGACCTTCATGGCGTGGATTTGTACCAACTAATAAAAGCACGTCGGCCTTCTCAACTCCGGCAATTTTGCTGTTCAATAAGTAATTAGATCTGAAATCAACTCCATGAGTAGGTATCTTAGAGCTATTAGGACCGTCAATAGCGAAATTATCACTACCAAAACTGTTGAATAAATCCTTGAGAGCAACCAAACTTTCTACATCTACAAGTTGCCCGGCAATCGCTTTAGCTTCGGTTCCTTTAACATTATGGATTTCTTTTGCTACACATGACAATGCTTCGTTCCACGATATAGGAATAAATTTATCTCCCTGTCGAACTAACGGTGTAGTAAGTCGTTGTCTTTTAAGTCCGTCAAATGCAAATCTCGTTTTATCAGAAATCCATTCTTCATTTATTTCATCATTAATCCTTGGCAGAACACGCATAACCTCAACTCCACGAGAATCGACTCTGATATTGCTACCGATAGCATCTAGGATATCGATTGTTTCAGTACCTTTCAGTTCCCAAGAACGGTATGAAAATGCATAGGGTTTGGCGGTCAAAGCGCCAACAGGACATAAATCAATGACATTAGCTGACATTTCGGAGTCCAGTGTACGTTCAATGTACGTACTTATTTGCATTTCACTGCCTCTGCCAGTTGTGCCTAATTCAGGAACACCGGCAACTTCATTGGCAAAACGTACGCAACGTGTACAATGAATACATCTATTCATGGATGTTTTTATTAAAGGTCCAAAATCTTTGTCTTCTACGGCTCGTTTTCCGATTACTTCATGAAATCTACCTCGATCAGTACCATATCTAATTGATTGATCCTGTAAGTCACATTCACCACCCTGGTCGCATATCGGACAATCTAACGGGTGATTGGCCAAAAGAAATTCCATAACACCTTCACGAGCTTTTTTTACTAGCGGAGTATCAGTTTTGATTTTCATCCCAGGCATAACAGGCATTGCGCACGATGCAATAGGTTTTGGAGACCTCTCTAATTCAACAAGACACATTCGACAATTGCCAGCAACGGATAATCGCTGATTTATCCAAATTGAAAAATCAATTATTTTGGAAATCAAATTATAATTTAGGACATTGTTACCAACCTCATGATAACAAAAACGAGGTATCGTATAACCAGCTTTTTCGCAGGCTTGAATAACGGCGCTTCCTTGCTCAATCTTTACCGGATTTCCGTCCACAAACACTTCTACCTGTTGTTTTCTCGGAATGCTAAGACTAAAAGCTCGAATTCCTTGGAATGTAAATTCAGGCACACATTGTGAGCTGCCCACTGATTAGACTATTGTATTTTATACACCAAATTTTAGTGCCTATTCTTAGTAATACCTTTTCCCCTCGAGGTTAGTGAGGTTAGTCGTTTTAAACCACCTGGACGGGAAATAAACCTTAGCATGACGAAATTATCAATAGTAAACTACTTTATTCGATAAATTTTTTTGTTTGTGGCATTAAATGAGGATCGAGGTTTGCTTTAATTGGTTGTTGATCCAGATCATCAGATTAAATTTGATTGGCTGGTAGATCATGCATTATATAATATTTATCATATGAAGTCGTACAAAAATTCTTTTTTAGATGGCCTATTTTGATATGAAATTTTAAAATTTTTTGGGATTTTTTTTTAGAATTAGGTTAAAGTTTAGGTTTAGATTTGATATTTAAAAAATTTATATGAATTTTAGTAGGATTTATAGTTTTAAATTAAAACATTAAGAAGATGGCAATCCTAATATAATGGTTGGATTGTTATCTTTCAAGTAGCAGGTTTAAGGTTCAAATTTCATCTATGATAAAATTTGAAAATTATATTTGTGTTATAGTAACTGTCTTCTGTCAATTGGTTGGCCTTATATTGTTATAACCTAGGTATATCAAGCCAGATTCTATTAACATTAGAAGCTTGAAGTATCTATATGAAATATAATATTATATATATATTGAAGAATATATAATCAGTATTATATAAAATTTTAGTGCAAATTTATAATAAGATCATTAGGCATAGAAAACTAAAAAATTAAGATGATAGAAACCTACTTAAAAATTTCTGAACAAAGAGATAATATGAATTTTTGATAATACTATTAGACTAATTAAAGTTTATAAAACATATTTATAAAAATCAAAGATTAAACTAAACATTAAATATGTATATAAAAGTGCATAACCAATTAGACCACCTGACTTGTCAGAGAAAAAGGATACAAAAGTAAAGTTGTCAATTTTAAATTAATAACTAATAAAAGATGATAATAAAAATGACAAAAAGATAGATACTAAGATTCTAATAAATTTTATAAGAATAGAAATAGTATAATGTAGTAGTTAAACAGATAACTCTTATAACTGCAAGTATTAGATAACTATATTGTGTTGTATAAAACTAGCTTAGTATATATGGAACATAAAGGTTCTAATAAGTTTTCTGTTGAGAATAAAGTAGTTCTAAGAGTACTAATTAGTTTCAAAAACTTAGATAAGTATAGTCTTGAAGATGTTCTTATAATATAAGAAAGATTATATATGCAGAGGGTTTAAATAAGCAAGATTCCTAGTTGACTTACAGATATGACATCTGGTATAAAACTTATATAGTAATGTATAAGCAGACTATTTAAATTATATACTAAAAGTGTATATATAATTAGTTATAATCTCTAATATAAGGTAGTTTCTAGTAACATGTTGTATTCTATATATTTAAATAAAAATGTTATATTCTAAAGATAGGAACTTTAATATAAAAAAAAAATCAAGACATTAAATTTTAGTATTAATCAATTTTAGTATTAGTTATAATAATAATTTAAAACAAATTTTTAAAATTTTATAAAAATTAAAAAAAATAAAAATATTATAAAAAAAAAGATTTATTAATTTTAAAAATTTAATTATTTATAAAATTTTATACTAAACAAGTTTACTTAAAAATAAAATTAAAATATTTTAATAAAAATTATTTATATAAATTTTTTTACTAAAATAAACTATTTTTGTTTTTAAGTTTGTTTTTATTCTTTATATGGAATCTTTGTCTTGAAAATCAAATTTGAATTATATGATTTACTATGTTTTATAAGGTCATTTTCAAGACAAAAATCTTATATATAATTTAAAAACAAGTTTTTTTTATAAAAACTTTAATTAAATTTTAATAAAATTAAAGTTATAGTCTTATCTTTAATATTTAAAAAAAAGATTGTAATGACTTAATAAAGTGAATAGATTGTTAACTTCCAAGTGACAAATTTAGATTTTAAATCTTAATAATAATGAAAATTTATATTTTTTTCTATATTATAGTTAACTGTCTTCAAATTAATTGAAATTAGATATTTGTTACCTATATTATACTAATATGACTAAAAAGTCTAGGCATTTGTATAACTTTATATAAAGAAACACAAACTGATATTGGGTGATATAAATCTATAATAAGTTTTTGGTCATATAAATTACAGAAACCAAGAAGATAAAAGCTTATTTAGAAGATCTAATTAGAAAGGTAATCTAAGCTTTTGATGATACTATTGATTTTTTTTTTTCAGTATTAAGGTAACCTCTTTGGTCTGAGTTTTTTATTAATACTTATAGCAAGTACATGTTTTATATAGATATATTTATAATGAACTATTAGACAAGTATACAACTGGCTACATGTATAACTTTTTTATATTATCTATTTAAGAAATTCGCCTGAGGATTTTCTACCAGTTGCTGTATCTAACACTTCTGCTTAGATATTCTATTTAAACTCTCTGATCTAACCCTAGTATTAATTTCACTAGGTCATAGACCCAGATCTATTCACATTTAACTATAGAACTATAATCCTTAGACTATTTTTATCCTCAAGGTAAACCTACCAGAGTGAGCCATATTCCCTTTTACTGCTAACCTGGTTTGATGATATAGCTAAGGCCAATACTTGCAGTCAGAGTTATTCCTTAAACTACTATTATCCTTGTAAAGTTCACCCAAACCCTAATACCCATTTTTCTAATTTCTTCTTCATCATTTCTTACTAGCCACAACTCGGAACTAACCGATTAACCAGACTCCCAATTCAGATGGCTCAGTATAATATACTTATGTATTTTTTTCCTCTAACGATTCCGGCAGCCTGGTTGATCATGTACTTTTCTACATATCTTTGTTATTTGGTTTACCTAATCAGTTTCTATGAAGGTGTTTCATGAGCTTCCATCAGTTCAATGGCACCATTAAAAGTTTGTGTTACCTCTTTACAGAAATTTCTAAGTGAGTTTCTGTCTCTTCAGTTTCTTAGCCTTCTATGCCTGGTGGTCTTATCGTGGATTTGCCCGAAGTCTTATATGATACCAGTTTTACATTCCTCTATGTACATATACCATGTAATGTTATACTTTACATAGATGTTCCGAGTTCCCAATATTAGCTAAAACCCAACTTGGTGTATCTAAAATTACAGATACCCAAAACCTAACTGATCGACAAGAGACAGTTACTGTAATACAAGTATAATTTCCAAAATTCATTATCTGTAGGAATTGAACCTTAAATCTGCCACTTGAGGGTTGACAACCTATCTACTTTACTAGGTCACTACACCTCTTGATGATGCTATTATAAAGACTAGACCTATGAAATAAAATTAGAATATATAAAACTATTCAAAAAGCTAGTTTTTGAAAAAAGACTAAATAGAACCAGTTAGGTTACTAGAATTTGTTTTAAAAAAAAATTACATTGTTATAGGATAGATTTTTATTATTGTATTATTAACTAATTATAGTTGCTTTAATGCTTTAAACATTTTAATGTCTTAAGTTTATGAAATTAGTTGCTTAGTTTCTTAGTGTAACTAGTCGCTTAGTCTCTTAGTGTAACTAGTCGCTTAGTCTCTTAATGTAACTAGTCGCTTAGTCCCTTAGTGTAATTAGTTGCTTAGTCCCTTAGTAAAACCAATCACTTAGTCTCTTAGTGCAACTGGTCGCTTAGTCCCTTAGTCGCTTAGCTGCTTAACTTACAGATATATAAATCCTCTAAATTCCCCTAAATAGAAAGGCATTCAACAAGTTCTATAACTAACAGTTTCCAAGAAACAGACAATTCCCCTTCTTCTTTATCCTGTAATTTATATCTTGAATCCTTTAGGACAGACATCTAAGGATCACCCTTCTTGCAATTCTTTAATAAATGACTTTAACTACAAACTACTATGTAATAATTATCGAACTGC